GCCGGCAGGCTGTCCTGGACCGTCGCCGACTATGGAACTCGTGGCATCGCCACCCCACCCCACAGACTTTTTGCAGGACATATGCCACGTGTAGGTGGATAGTCCTCCTTGCCAAACAACGGGCCTGGGCTGACTGTTGTGCCTCTCTTCGCTTCGACTCTTCTTCTGCAGGGGGCCTAGAATTTTGTTCGAAGGATGTCTGGGAGCTACTCTTAGCCTTCCATCCTGCTCATTGACCCCAGTGGTAATTCGAACCTGGGAGGAAAAGCAAATGCCTGATCTTTTGGCTAACTATTTTTATGAGGTTTTCCGTGTTCCATGCATCCCAACGGGTTACGTCAGTTGGCGCCCGTAAAGAGTGTTGGCCTAGCTCAGAACTCAGATCGTCCATTTACACCTGGTGAACTCGAGGAGGCTTTGTCACTCTAGAATGAGCACAGTGCCGGAGAAAGGCTGCATCCCATATGAATTCATTCGGAGGATGCCCTGGGCTTTCCGGTCCCACCTTCTCTTCTAAAATGTCTGCTGGTTCTTGGGTGTCTTCCCTGACTCGTGGAAATGCACCATTCTTCTCCCCTTTTCCAAGCCTGGAAAGGATGCGTCGGTCCTGAGCTTATATCGGTCTGCTTCCATGGCTCAGTGTGGGGGTTTTCTATTTTGCTTTCCCGACTGCAATGCGTACGTCACCAATGTACATGTGGCGGACGCTTCACGAAGCTGTCGAAATTAGCAGAGAAAATACGAGAGCAACCGTACAAGGCCTGGGAGCAAGGTCGAGTTAGAGTCCTTGAAGGTCTCTTCTCAGACTAGCCTCACCTGGTCCTGGTCCACTTTGATCATTGGAATCTTCTCAATGATTTAACACTTTAAGGGGACTCCTAGGGTCCTCATCACATTTATAGTTTAGTGAATTAGGCAACTCGGTGTTGGAGACACCTGGAGCTGAGAGCTTGAATAAATAGTTGGCAGTATTTAGAAGTGGTTCAACGGAAACACCGCATAAAGCTTAATCGTAGTTTATTTACTAACTTAACCACAAATACAAAGGGTGCTTGATTTACTTTAGATTGGCGTCAGAAAGGCTATGGTTGCGTTACCGAGACTCTTGACGTTTGGCTAATGGATTCGGATCCATTAGCCAGACGTCAGACCATTATTCGGATCTAACCGGATACTCGGGTAATGATGATATGCAATAAATCACAGTAATACTGTCAATGGGACAGTCAAGAAACATGCACAATAATAATGTCACACAATAACTAAATGTGTGGCGTATGTGAAGCTCACATTCACAGACGAGTGCAATGTCGTGATACCACTCAGATAAACACGCATACAACGTCGGGTGTCTTCACCTATACCTGTGCCAGGTATGAGAAGGTGAGAACTGTGGTTGATCTCTCAGTTCAACACAGACACAATATAACAATGACAAGATCTTGTACTTACAGGTAGGGTACCTCTCTCTTATTCACTCACTCACTCAGGCACATTTGTGCAAGAACTCGTAGGTGTCCTGACAACTGGTTCTGCTCGTCACGACGTGAGACCATTGACGACAGGCTATCCCACAAATCGTACTTGAAACGGGGGGGGGGGGGGTGTACTCGCAGGAGGGCGCACTGTGTGTCTGACAGACATACGCACACCTGATCAGTAGCAGAGGTGACGTCATGAACACATCAAGACCACGTCACAGTTGTTATTCTCCATTGCGCCGATTGAGGCTGACCCCAGAGGTCAGTCTGTCCTGTCGCCTCACTGGCGTCTCTCTCTCTCTCACACGCTGGCAATGTACATGTAGCCAATGTACTCTATGACCCTATGGCCAGTAACTTTCCTGTATCTACTTCCTGCCTGGACATACGGCAGCCTCCGTATTATAAACGTATTCCTGGTTAAGTGGGCATCCTGGAGACACCCAACATGACAGATTACCATCCAGGGTTTACAGAGATAGGGCTTGTGCACGAGGATCGGTGCACTGTGCACTGCAATGAGCCATTCAAGTTGGCTGTGGGATAATCATGAGAGACCATCCTCTCACACTCAGAAAATTCATGGAACGCCTGGTACCCCTCCGTCTGTATTGGTAGTAGAGACATCGGGTCTCCTGCCAGAGGGCTTCAGTTGGTTTCGTCCGAGAAGGAGCTCTATGGACTGTCTCCTCACCTTTGAACATCGACGATTGAACACTGATCGTCGGAGGTGGGTGCTCCTTTTGCAGTTTTCTTTGACATCCAGAGTGCGTTTGACTCTGCATCACATTCAGCTGTCCTTCAGGGCTTGGGCCTCTCGGGTTCCACATTGGGATGGTTTAAGAACATAAGAACAAAAGTAACTGCAGAAGGCATGTTGGCCCATACGAGGCAGCTCCTATCTATAACCACCCAATCCCACTGATATACATGTCCAACCCGCGCTTGAAATAATCGAGGGACCCCATCTCCACCACGTTACGCGGTAATTGGTTCCACAAATCAACAACCCTATTTACCCAAGTCTTTCCTAAATCTAAACTTATCCAATTTATACCCAATGTTTCGTGTTCTGTCTTGAGTTGATACTTTTAATACCCTATTAATATCCCCTTTGTTATGTCCATTCATCCACTTGTAAACTTCTATCATGTCACCCCTAACTCTTCGTCTTTCCAGTGAATGCAATTTAAGCTTTATTAATCTTTCTTCATATGAAAGACTTCTGATTTGAGGAATTAACTTTGTTTAGGGGTGACATGATAGAGGTTTACAAGTGGATGAATGGACATAACCGGGGGGATATTAATAGGGTATTAAAAGTATCAACACAGGACAGAACACGAAACAATGGATATAAATTGGATAAGTTTAGATTTAGGAAAGACTTGGGTAAATACTGGTTCAGTAACAGGGTTGTTGATTTGTGGAACCAATTGCCATGTAACATTGTGGAGGTGGGGTCCCTCGATTGTTTCAAGCACGGGTTGGACAAGTATATGAGTGGGATTGGGTGGTTATTGAATAGGAGCTGCCTCGTATGGGCCAATAGGCCTTCTGCAGTTACCTTTGTTCTTATGTTCTTATGTTCTTATCCCACGCTGGACACGTTCAAGTGAATTTATATCCGTTCTATAGTACGGCGACCAAAACTGAACTGCATAATCTAAATGGGGCCTAACCAGAGCAAGATATAGCTGAAGAACCACACCAGGTGTCTTGTTACTAACGCTTCGATTAATAAATCCCAGTGTCCTATTCACCTTATTACGAGCATTCATGCATTGATCCTTTTGTTTTAAATTCTTACTAATCATAACTCCCAGATCCCTTTCGCAATCCGACTTCGCAATCTCAACACCATCTAGCTCGTATCTTGTAACTCTATCATCATTACCCAGCCTCAAAACTCTACATTTATCAGCATTAAACTGCATCTGCCAATCTTTTGACCATTTCAAAACCCTATTTAGATCAACTTGCAGTGATAGCGAGTCTTCTTTTGTGTTGATTTCCTTACCGATTTTTGTATCATCTGCAAATTTGCAGATGTTGCTACTCAAACCTGAATCTAAATCATTTATATATATATTATAAACAACAGAGGTCCCAGGACAGAGCCCTGAGGTACTCCACTAACAACATTATCGCACTCTGACTTAACCCCATTTATACTAACTCTCTGTTTCCTTTGGAATAGCCATAGTTTCAGAGCTATCAACAGTTAAACTCGTTCAGAGTGGCGGTGGGGGGTGTTGACTCCTCATCCCGCCCAGTCTCTAGTGGTGTTCTCCAGTGAGTGATCATCAGTCCACTCCTATTTTCCATTCTTCTGTCCGATCTCCTGGTCTTCCATGGTGCCCAATTTTTATGCTATGCAGATCACATAACCCTTCTGGCGGATGGTGCCACTATCCCGGAGGTGCAGAGTTCCCTGCAGTAAGCAATGAGTGTGTTCTCTGCAAGTGTGATGGGAAAGGAGTTCTCAATCAACCCGGAGAAGAGTTGCGTCACGTGTTCTCAAAACGAAACCACAATGGGTTCCGTCTCTTGTCGGGATTAATGACAATGAGGTGGCTGACGCAGCATCAGGATTGGCGCATGGTATCCATAAAGTTACACAGGTGTGTCTGGAACTAATGGAGACTTTCACATAGCTCTGGGCAACCTGCCTTGCGGGATGGGAGGCAGAAATTTTGACCGCCCTTAAATCCTCTTCTTTGGGTACCCTCCGGGAGGGCGCCTTCCCGAGTCCTTGGGCTCATCAAAGTTAATGCATCCTGACACAACCCTCACTCACCTTCTGACTAGGCACACCTGTCTGACTGGGCATCTCCATTGTCGCCAGTTGAATGATTTCCCCTACTGCCAGTGGTGTCCGAACAATGTGGATACTGTGGTACATTTATTTCTCCACTGCCCATGGGTTTATAGTGCTCACATCAAACTAGAGTGCTATTCATAGGTTGCATATTCTTTGCCTCACCCGTTTTCATTGACGGAGTGGGCGCGGGAGAGGGCGACATCTGCTACGACATCGTTTGACATACCTTTCACTTTATTGGATATGTCCGTCAGCTGAAGAAGCTGCAAGGATCCCATCCCTATTCGCAATTTCCAAGTATTAGGCAGCCAGGTCGCATCCGATCCCTCGATCGTCGTCGCCTCTAAATCAACAACACCAACATCAACACAATCGACTTGAGAATGGTCCAGGACGGACCGAAACGTCGTCGTCCCTTCAATTTCTAGTGTGTGGTCTGGTCAACAACAACACCAACATCATTCTTGCCATAGAGATTTCTCAGTTATCTGTGCATATCCCAATAACATTGCATTAGATTTGCCATATTTGTTCTTATGTTCTTGAATCAGAAGTCGTTTTTCCTGTACCCTACCTGTGTAAAAAAATAATAAAATAAAAAATCTGTTTTAGTGGATATAAATAAAAGTTGCCTTGAATGGGCCAATAGGCTTTCTGTAGTTCCATTAATTCTAATAGTGTCATGTTGTGTACAGGAGCTTCAGAATGTTTGGTGAAGATGAGGGCTGGCGGTACATACTACACTCACTGTGGGCTTGGGGCGTGCCGGGGCTCATCACCAGCCTCGCCCTCACCCTCAACCACTACCGCGCCTCCCTCCCCTGCAGCGTCATCACCCCCAGGATTGGTCTCAAAAACTGCTTCTTCTCTGGTCAGTCTCCGGTGTTGTGCTTATCCGTATAGGAGCAGTGCTGTTAAACATTGCTGTTCCAGAGTCACATACTTTGGAAATTAGATAATCCAAAGAACAGGTTAAGCGGAATATGACTGTATTTACAAATCTGATTTATTATCCACAGACCAGAAGGCCAAACTGGTGTATCTGTACGTGCCCATGTTGCTGACGCTGTGTGCCAACACCTTCCTGCTGGTTGCCTCCCGCTGCGTCCGCTCAGCAAACCTGCGCCGAATGGAAAAGGGTTAGTTTAGTTCATATATTTAGCACCCAACTATATCCATACTGTGAGTGGCAGTGAAAATGTTAGAGGCACATAAAAGGGTCATGAACTAAACCCCCCATTATTCGGTTAGCATGTTACATCATGTATGATAACCGGTTTCGCTGGGATTGTGAAGATGTTTTGACAGTGTGTCACATCACGGAGACTAGGAACTAGACCCATTGAGTACACCCAACTATGATTTAAATGATTTAGATTCAGGTTTGAGTAGCAACATCTGAAAATTTGCAGATGATACAAAAATCGGTAGGGAAATTAACACGGAAGAAGACTCACAATCACTTCAAGTTGATCTAAATAGGGTTTTGAAATGGTCAAAAGATTGGCAGATGCAGTTTAATGCTGCTAATGTAAAGTTCTGAGGCTAGGTAATGATGATAGAGTTACAAGATACGAGCTTGATGGTTCTGAGATTGCGAAGTCGGATTGCGAAAGGGATCTTGGAGTTATGATTAGTAAGAATTTAAAACAAAAGGATCAATGCCTGAATGTTCATAATAAGGCAAATAGGACACTGGGATTTATTAATCGAAGCGTTAGTAACAAGACACCTGGTGTTGTTCTTCAGCTATATCTTGCTCTGGTTAGGCCCCATTTAGATTATGCAGTTCAGTTTTGGTCGCCATACTATAGAATGGATATAAATTCACTTGAACGTGTCCAGCGTAGGATGACTAAGTTAATTCCCCAAATTAGAAATCTTTCATATGAAGAAAGATCAACAAAGCTTAACTTGCATTCACTGGAAAGGCGAAGAGTTAGGGGTGACATGATAGAGGTTTACAAGTGGATGAATGGACATAACAAAGGGGATATTAATAGGGTATTAAAAGTATCAACACAAGACAGAACATGAAACAATGGGTATAAATTGGATAAGTTTTGATTTAGGAAAGACGTGGGTAAATACTGGTTCGGTAACAGGGTTGTTGATTTGTGGAACCAATTACCGTGTAACATGGTGGAGGTGGGGTCCCTCGATTGTTTCAAGCATGGGTTGGACATGTTTATGAGTGGGATTGGGTGGTTATAGATAGGAGCTGCCTCGTGTGGGCCAATAGGCCTTCTGCAGTTACCTTGTTTTTATGTTAACTAGCTAGACCCACTAGTTGTCAAGAGGACGGCGTTCTTCGATTGAAGAACCTAGAGAGAAGAGGCGGGTACTGGTGATACAAGAAGTTATCACTGTGACAAGGAGTCCACATTAAAAGAAAAACACGGAGGGTAACGAAGATAATCAGGAGCCTGAGAGAAGAGTCTTGGCCATCGTCAAGAGAGTGAGAGACTCCATGGACCGATGGACAAGAGCTGGAGCTATGCACTGTGATGGCAGGACTGCAAATACCAGAGGAAAGGGCCTGTAGTGGTTTATGGGGAAACTTTAATGAACAGTGAGGAACTAAGGAGATCCCCAGAGGCCATCAGCAGAGTGAGCGGTTGAGGTGTATTAATGAAACAAGGTGAGATTGATGCCACAAGGTGGTTGTGAGGAGCTAGCTCACAACAAGGTACTATAAAGTTATTACAAGATGGGTGCCGAGAGTTAGAGCCCCAGGTGTGCAGTGAGGGTAGTAGCATCCCTGTGTGAGCGATATACAGGAGTTACAAGTGTGGGGCCAAGAGGTAGAGCCCCAGGTGGACAGTGAGGGTCGCTGTATCCCTGAGTGAGGGACTGTATAATGAGTTTTCCAAAAAACAAGGGTCCACAAGTGAGGTGGGGCCCAGAGCTGAGTGCCCGGGTGTGTGATTGTGAACGCACATCCCTGGGGAGGTAAACTGAGGTTTATAGAGATATATTGTGTGACGGGTCTTGACCCCCAATTACGTATTCTGCAGAATCGCCAATTACGCTCCGGCATACGCTGGCTAAAGAGGAGTCAATGTTCCTCTAGAACGCTCGACAATGTCCGCCCTAAGTGCTGCAGCACTCTCCGCTCTAGAGCTCCTCTCTGTTGAGGGCCTACTCCCCTCCCTAGGTACCACTGTTCACCTCTGGTGAGCACCCCAGTTAAACTATGGAGCAGGGTTTGCACCCAACTCAGCCTTGCACCCCGTAGTAAGTGAGGTAACTCTACCACTCCCTAGTTTCCTTGCTGGGGAAACTAGGGAGTTTCCATGGACACAGAAACTCAAGGTTTACCCCAGGTCGAGTTGCCCGTCCATAAGGTTAATCACAAGGTCGCCAACTTGACTTAAAACTCTGTGATCAAGTAATACTTCCAATACAGTGGGATGTCATCTCTCCCAGTCTAGTGCTTCTTCAACATTACTGTGGTGCACAGTAAACACCACGACAACACATAAAAGAAATCAAGAGGAGGAAGGAATCACATTAGTAAAATGTGATTTGCTTATTCACAATAGGCTACACTGAGTAAGCAATGTTGTATACTGGTCTGTAAAATCTCTAAATAAGTTCGATGGCAATACTCTCGAAATTAATGATGATATATGGCAACACTTCAGTATCTCTTAACCAGCACTTCTGTCATCATGTGAATGTAAAAACATATTATAACACCTCTTCAATATGTATAGCCTTTAAATCACTACTTAATCAATACACGAAAACATAATCACGACACACAATATATATAAATAAAAATGTATATGTTGGTTTGTTCAAAATCGCTAATCTCCGAAAGTTCTTCACAGATTGCTTTGAAATTTACACACAACATTCCATTCGCATCTAAGCTGGTTTTTATATACATACTATATAGATGTTACTTCTGTGATGGGAATTAAAAAAAAAACTGTGCTTTTCATGTGAGGGGAAATCTTCAAAACCTATTTACCAATTGCCTTGAAATTTTGACACAACTTTGCATTCAAATAGACGCGTGTTTTTATATACCTACTATATACATGCCTCACCTATGACAGGATTTTTTTTTAATTACCGCCATCTGTTGGACGTAAGAGCAACACATTCTGCAATCTCCGAAAGCTCTTCACAGATTTTAGCAACACACGCTATACTAAATATGTTACAATTCCATTTCAATGTTTCCAATTGCATTGATAAATTGAATTTTAATAGATTTGGATTTATTTTAATTTTGATTAAATTAATTTGTGTGACATTGTTTCGGATTGTTTCGGAAGCTGTATTTTTACCATACCATTCATTTCGTAAGTATAAGTATATATGCCACACCTGTGACTGGTAAAAACATTTTTTTTACGAAACAGTGCCATCTGTTGCACACAAGTGCAACACACGCTATACTAAATGTGTTACAATTCCATATCAATGTTTCAGATTCCATTGACAAATTGAATTATCATTGATTTCGATTTTTTTCATTTGGATTGAATTATTTTGTGTTTGTTTTTTGTAACATGTTTTTTCCTGTCACAGGTGAGGCATGTAGGTATCTAAAAACACGCGCCTATTTGAATGCAACGTTGTGTCTAGATTTCAAGGCAATCTGTAAAGAGGTTTCGAAGATTTCCCTCACTTGATAATAACAGTTTAAAAAATTTATTATTTTTTCCCCATCACAGAAGTGAAATCTATATAGTATGTATACAAAAACCCACTCGGGTGCGAATGGAATGTGTGAAAATTTCAAAGCAATCGGTGAAAAACTTTCTCAGACTGGCGATTTTGATTAAAAAAAATTTACATTTATATATATATATATATATATATATATATATATATATATATATATATATATATATATATATATATATATATATATATGTCGTACCTAGTAGCCAGAACTCACTTCTCAGCCTACTATTCAAGGCCCGATTTGCCTAATAAGCCAAGTTTTCCTGAATTAATATATTTACTATAATTTTTTTCTTATGAAATGATAAAGCAACCCTTTTCTCTATGTATGAGGTCAATTTTTTTTTATTGGAGTTAAAATTAACGTAGATATATGACCGAACCTAACCAACCCTACCTAACCTAACCTAACCTATATTTATAGGTAAGGTTAGGTTAGGTAGCCAAAAAGCTAGGTTAGGTTAGGTTAGGTAGGTTAGGTAGACGAAAAAACATTAATTCATGAA